ATACATACATACATACACACACACACACACATATATATGAAACTATCACACGTCTGTTTCCGCTTGTAACTTCCCTATAACATGTCGCACCCAACCCCTAGCAACACGCGGCTCATCCAGTTCCTCCGCATCTTGGCATGTGGGCGGCAGTGGCGACGCCCTCTCGCTCCCTGCTGGACTCTGCGTTCCCACAGAGGCAGGCAGCGGAGACTCGGGCGTGAGTGAGGGGCGAGGGGAAAGTCTGGGTGGTACTGAGGACGACCTAGTCACGGGTAAACTAAGGGGAGATAAAGTAATGGGATTTTTTATAATAGGAGGAGTCATGAGAGTGGGGGATCTCGGCGACCGAGAGCTCCTGTCCGCACTGTTTTCTCTCTCCGGGGTTCCTCTGGGGGACGCGCTGGGCTCTTCTCCGTCGTCCCCTTTGACCCGACACACCTCCAGCTCCTTTCGGCGGTCGTCCAGGCTTCGGAAGCCGTCGAACGAGGGGCTGCTGTTTTGGTCGTCGCGACTGAATTTCCTGCACTCCTCCAGGTTCTTGAGCTGCTGCATAATGAGGTTCCCGCACGGGCGTTTGGTCTTTATGCTGTCAGGCTTGGCGGGGACGGGAGGCGGGACCTTCTTCGCCTGCGGGGACGATCGGGGGCTGATGGATGCCACGCCACTAGAGGACGTCGACTCGGCCTCCGCGGCGGCTGACGGCTCCTCAGGCGTCACCACGATCTCGGGGGAGGCATGGCGGCTGGGGGACACAGCCTTCTTCGTGACCTTTGTAGAAGATCTGGGGGAGAACTTCTTGGAATTCGGGGACTTGCACTTGGGACTAGTGGATGGCCGCTCCTGATTCAGGCTGTTCGGGGGGGATTCCGTGTCTTCGGGGTCGCTATAGATGGCACTGTCTCGGAATATCTCGGTCTCAAGGTTCTCTATCGCCTCAAAGGATCGTTCATAATAACTGTCGGCTGAGGCGTCGCTGTCGAATGAAGGGGTTTCTTGATTTTCCTCATTTTCCTCTTCCACATTAGCCATGTTATTAGAGACTTCAATGCCTTCTAAAAATTTCGTATCACGACTGGAAGACGAGGAAGAGGACGAGGAAGATGTGAGGATGGAGGAAGAAGAGAGAACCGAGTCGGGTCTGAGGTCGGACTTGGGTTTCTGGTCAAGAGGTCGGATTCTCGGCACGGCATAGTCGGAAGGCTCGTTCGTACCAGCCAAACGAGCCCCGATACTCGAACTCCCCTGCTTGTATATCGGCAGGGCGTACACGTTCTCCGTTGGGGACTTGGGGACAGGGGCTTTTTCGATGTCCTCGGCTCGGATCTGCTTTATGCGTTCCTTCAGGGTTTTGGAACACTGTCTCGCCATGTTGTATACCATTTTACTCGCTCTCTTATCCATGCCCTTGTCAAGCTCACTCTCCATTGAGTAATTGTAGACTGAGCCTGAAGGTTCTGACACGGTCTTGTTGTTTCTGGGACTCGTAATTTTGTTTAGCACTGTCTTTAACGTCGACTTATTATTTGTGGACTTGTAGATCTTGTGCTCGGGATGAATGCTGAGGATGTTGTCCATGCTCATGTGCGGCGTCATGGAGTAATCCGTCATGTTGTCCTCGGTGTCGTAAGGGAACCGCTCGCTGCACCGTCTCGGAGGCCGGGGCTGGTTGAGGTACTGCTCGAGCGCGCTCAGACTCACCTCGTTGCTGTTGTAGAAAGCGATAGTGACCGGGCGCTCGCGGTTCTCCCGGGGGCTCTCGTCGCGCACCCACACCTCCGGGGGCTTCGAGGTCTCCGCGGGGGCCGTGTGGGGCTGGGGCGTGAGCTGCGCCGCCGACACGTAAATGTTTTCGTGATTATTCGATAGACACTTCTCCGCGGAGAAGGACTGAGCCCGTCTTAACCTTGGCCTCTCTAAAGTCGCTGTGGGAGTCTGTGATGCCTTGACTTGCTGGAATGCGCCGCTCTGCCTCTTCTCCGGGCTCTTCCCTCTTATCGTGCTCCAGATGTTGAGCAGATTGTCGTAATTCGAGTTCATTTTCTTGAGAGTTGGCATCTTCTTGAAGCTGAGGTCGGACGACGATCTTCTCACTGGCTTCGTCTTCTTTTCACTAGACAGAGACTTATTATCACACGGCTGATGCACTGAGACGGCACTGCTGTACATCGACTGGCATTCACTACTGGAAACATTGGCACTTTCAGTCTGTGTGGCACATTCGCCCTCCTTGCCCATGCCATTGAAATAGAAGTCCACATAGTCGCCCACGTCCTCGTGCCGGAGGGTGTCGCCGGCGTCCGAGCCCGCGTACGAGCCGTTGGCCTTGAAGGGGCCGTCCTCGTTCTCCGTGTCGGACGTCTCGTAGCGGAGCGGGAGCTTTCTCATCAAGCCTCGGCGCTGCTTGCTCAGGAGAAGTTTCTGAAGCTGCAGTTTATTCTGGAGGAGCTGGCTGATGATCTCCTCGAGGTTTTCTCCGTTCTCGCTGCCTTCTTCGTATTCT